ACATATGATTATATGGCATTTTATTGATGTTGATAAAATCCGACCATCCCAGCGTCGAAATGGCGAACTTTTGACAAAAAATTTCGTTTTTCCTCAATAACTCCCAAACCGTTGGTCCTACGAGGAAATTGCATAGGACCTTTCTTGTAGAGGACGACGAGATCTACAAATTCTGTATAAAAGTTTCTTGCTAGCATTAATAGTTTACGAGTTATTGACGAAAAACGAAAAAACAGTTTTTTGCAAATAACTCGTAAACTATCGGTGCTAGCGAAAAATTTTTACATGGAAATTGTAGATCTCGTCGTCCTCTACAAAATGGTCCTATACACGTCCCTCTAAGTCCATCCGTTTGGGAGTTATTGGCAAAAAACTAAAATTTGGAAGAAATTGCAGGGGTACCCCTTGGAAAAATCTCGGAAAAATCGAAAATTTTTTTTGTTGTTTATTATTAGCAATGTTTTTCCGACGTCTGATTTCTTTTTAAAAAATGCGTTTCTAAAGTGCATAAACTTTTGGGATTGACTGTATAGTCAATACATCCTTAACTCCACTTGTTAATGCATAATTGGCAATAAACGAAATATTTAATCGATTGGTCCTGAAGTATTCTAGATAGAACTTTTCTGCAGGTAATGATAGGAGTAGCCATAATTTTTGTTTGAAGTATTTTTCGAAAGTTTGAGTAATTTTTTTAGATATATCTACGTAAAATTTATTTGACAAGGAACCGGAAGATTTTTGAACAGGAGTGTAGGTACGTGTATCCGTTGTTGTCGCGTTGCTCCTTTCGGTGTGCGCCTCGGTTATTTTGCATCCCTTTGATGTCGTCCCCCCGGCTAACTTGCCCCGAAAAATACTAGCCGCGGAATCTCGACGCCCCGTTTTAGCAAGTATAATTCTTCGCACGCCACCGCACCGTTCCGCTCTGTCCCCGATAAATTTATTAAAATGCATCAGGGCACCCGTGTACACTTAAATCATCCAGCGAAAGTGCCTGCTAAATCATCGATCACGTTGATAAATCAGCCTCCGTCATTCGATTCTTCAAGCGTTTCGTCAGACGTAATAAAATGTATGAAACAATCGTTCTTGTAATTTTCATCTGTGTTGATCAAAAGCTCTCTATTCGATGTAAGAAATGAAAATCGTGCGAGGATTAATATCCCCTCGAAATCGTTCGGACAAACCGAATTTCCGGTGGAAGAGAATAGACCCATCACTGTCTCGATCCTGTTTGCGCGTATGGCTATTTTATTTTTTCAACTCGCATACATCGAGATAGGAAACGAATTTCTCAAAGATAATACACGCCGATCGATTCCCGATTCCGTCCGGGTAATATTAAAACACGCGAGGTACACGGGACGAGGACGGAGGATCGGAGTTCCGTTTCCGGTTCTCCTCGATTTTCCACGAGGAGAGATAGACAGACGTGTGGTACACGCAGAAATCGCAGGAGCGGCCGGCGTAAAATGATCCATTTTGCTGATTGATTCGCCGGCAGATATCCGTTACGCGCCGGAATGAAAATGCCATCCGTCGTTTTGAAAAATTATGTCCCGCAGATCAAAATCTGCCCGATGCAAACGGCGGTCATCGCCGGGTGACATGTGCCGGAGATCGTTCTCATTTGACGAACGCGTTCGCGAGATTTAATGAACCTCGATTCCTGATCCGATTCGAAATCTGTTAAAAATAGAGCCGATCAATTTCCAATCTAATTGAACGGATAGGCGCTGGCCGAGCCGGGTTCATCTTTATTCCATTGTTTGCCGTATCGTTTATAAGGAGGAAAAAGCATTGAGACATCAAAGCGTGATTGCGAGACGATAAGGAACCCGGGTGAACCAATTTCCTTAGCTCTGCATGCGTGTTACGCTGCCTAGCGAGAGATTACGCTTCGCCATTGGCCACGCGAAATCGTTAAAAGAACATCAGAAACTACTTTCGTGCGTGAGCTACCGCGATTCCTCAAACCCTCCCGTACACCTGCTATCGTTGCTGCCGGCAACGAGATAGAAATTCGAGATCCCCTCCAGAAGTGGAGGAATAGAAACGAAATGAAATAAAAGATACTTCAGCATTCTTCTCGTGGCGTACGATCACTGTACTCGCGAGGAAATCTACTGGCGCATAGAAATATTCGAGACAGGAATATTTGGAAGGTAATTCCGATGATGAATAGTAAAGCCCGCGAGCCACTTTTGAGTTTCTTTGATTCGAGGCTCGGACCATCGATCGGACAACGACCAATCAACCGTTTCCACCGCTGGTAGGGTTATCGCGAGATCCCCCAGCACCTATTCACCGGCAGAATAGCCCGACGATTGCACTAGAGAAGCTAAACCTCCTCCGGGCAACTCGAACTTCGGCCATCGAACAGTCGCAAACAATCGCTTATTCGTAGTCGTGGGGATCAGCGGAAACTGAATAGTTATTCGAGTGCAAAGTCGATTGGAGCTAATTTTCTCGCGATCACTCATGCTCCATAATGCATTCGATGAGAGTCGATAAGAACTGTTACGTATTTAGGAAGTCCTAGGAAACACGAGAACGAATCCATTAATTCAATCGAATTCGACCGAATGTTATTATGAAGCAATGGAAATACATATCGAAACAATCGATCGTCAAGGATTGACGCGAGGTACGAGAATAATAAAATTAAATTTGACGCCGTGATTCTGTGCTAGGAATAATCTCTGCTATAATTTGCGCATTAATAGATAAGGAGTGACAGTAGTAAACAGAATTAATGAGAAGCATCGATCGGGCCGCATCGGGGATTAATAGTGTGTCCGTAGCGAGTGTATTTTCTGTCTCACCTGCTGCTTAGTGATGTATATCGGCTTGTTCAGGATGATCCACGTGGTGGTCTCGTGGCAAGCTGGCATCGTTGTGGAGCCATCGTACGTCATGTAATATTTCGTGTCCGGCAGCAATTCCCGCACCACGAAACGCTTAATCTCCATCGTCTGGCCTGCGTGCAATCGGTCGCGATCGATAACATGACGAGATCCGACATACACCGTGACGCGCATACGTACCTATCCCCAATTAGCATCGGCGTTCCTCGACACGCCCGGTATCACGCTCTCATACTTACTTTCGTGTCGTTAATAGCCCGGAGAAAAAGGCTCGAGGAACCTCGAGCCCTTTCTCGATCGATACCACCTCGAACTTGCGAGAGTCAACAGAGTACACAGCGAAGTAACGCGACAAAGAAGCCACGTAAAACTTTCCTTTTGTTTCGTTCTGTTGACTCTCGCCGCACGATCTCCTCGGGAATATATTTTTTCCGTCTCTACTCTATTCATAATTAATTCTCGTATTTCCTCTTCGCGTTCCAATTAATAACGATCCAGCTAATGAACCATCGTTGCGGATAATCGAAAATTTAGTCGAAACAATCGACGAAAAATCCTCTTTCGAAACCGTTGCGAATCATTTGGCTCGTTCAATTTAATTTATTTAATTAGCCGATGCACCCCCTGGAGAGAGGCTCTCTGTTTCCGTTTTGTGTTCCCGTTCCCGTCCGCCCTCCCCGTCCGACGCGTTTTCATCGCGAAAGGGAGGAGGCGGCGCAGGCTCGCCGTTTTCTCTCGCGGCAATCGGAACCAATTACTAGCAATTAATTTCCCCGGTCGTGAAAACGGCAACTTGAACAGGCACAGAAATGATTTCAATTGAAACGCGACTGCTAACCGGAATTTAATATCTGAAATCCTTTGGCTTATTAACGTTCGATTCTCAAAGACTTTCGTCTTCCCCGAGCTATTCTTGTTCCCGTTGCCCGAGATATTCGTGCGGACTGAAATAAATCGCGCTTTTGAATATTTTTGTCTACCCATACCCCCGCGTGAATACAGATCTATTAAAAGACTCTGATAAAAAATGTCGGTCGTACGCGGTCACGACTAAAGGTCAAACTTAAATCGTAATCTAATAAGGGTACATCAATTTACACCGTATGCGCCTGACGTGTCCAATAATAAAAGCTAATGACCCGCGATCGGATGAACTTTTGAGAACGGGTTCGGAGTTAATTAAGATGGAAACGCGCGAATCGTATCGAGGAGTCGAATCGAACAGGCGCACACGGACGACGGTAAAGACAGTGTACGCTTTCCGTGAGCATGGGAACTCGATTTCCTGGAGAAATTCGAGTCCGGCCGGGTGTATTAAATTACTACTGATAGTCTCTCACCTCCGTATCTGATGTACTGCAGCTGTTCGGTGAGTAGTCGCAGCTCCGGGTTCGAGAGATCTCCGACCTGAAAGGTAGAACTAGAGACAGGGGAAGTACGTATCCAGCCGTATCGCTTACGCCGATCGCTTTTCATCGACCGGGTAAATAAGCTCCGAGTGGTAGATTAGGCTTTCGGTACCTGCAGCAGGAGGGACACCGCGACTATCCCCTGCACCCGGTGCAACGCGTCCGAGAAGTTGTTGTACAGCTGCGAATTGAACCCGAATATCTGCAACTGTTTCCGAAAATTCGAAATTTAACTTATTGAGATCGTAATAATTTACCAGGTAATAATAAAATTCAAATGAACCGTAGTACGAAATTTATAATGCGAATGCGACAGAGCTTTCGATTTTCAATGATCGCTGATTCCGCTGACGTGATTCGACGAAAGCTCCACCGCCCACCGTGATCAACCGTGACGTTATTCTCGTTTTAGGACTTCTATTTCTTACTGATCCTCTCGCGTATCCCCGTTTCCCGTTTAACCACTCGACGTCTATTCTGCGTTCTCTTTTTTTTACTTGTTGATGTACACGTTCAATTATTTTTTCGTATTGCTCACTGCTTTGCATTCATTTACTGACACGAAAGAGCTTCTGCCTAAATAAATAATTTCAAGAAAAAGCGTCGAAGGTTACAAGTCCGACCAATTTCGTGTGTTACTACTTACGAATTACGTGCGTTTACTTGAGCGATTAAAAAAACACGTTTCGCGCGCTCATCGGTGATCGTGAAAGAAGTCCAGTTTATTTCGACGGAAATATGGATGCACGCGACTTTGAACGGATTTAAACAGTTTAAGCCCCGAGCCAGCTCTAAGAGGATTTGTTCTACTTTACTTAAATGTGTCGAGTAAATCCTTGATGAAATTCCTAACGTGTTAAAAAGCAAGATTTATTGAGATGTACGTAAAAATCTGACTGTTTGAAACGAATGCATACTTAAATCCGCGGTCGGTTTTAAACGATTCTCTCCCGTGTCGCGTTCCCCGAGCCATATTGGCAAAGTTTCGTAATTTTTTCAAATTTCAACTTCCCGACGTCGACGTGGTTGTTAAAATGCTATAGATACGCTTCCGCGGAGCAACACGTACATCGCGATTCGATACTGGCAACCTAGTTCGCCAGTTCTGACCCAGTTCGGACCGTTAATACGTCGAAAAAATAGTAGGGGCGGTACTTTCACGTTAATCAGGTTTCAGTTACGTGATCAAGTGAATAAGAGTCGTTCTCTTCTGATCGGGCGCGAGATTCGAGATCCGATATCGAGAGTTTCACGAGGATAAGCTCTTGATATATGAACCAGCGAAATTCTGACTGCATTAGTCCAATTAAATCTAAGCGCTTAAACCTTTTCATCCGATATAAATTACCGCGAACGTATTTGTGTCTACTTCGAGTACGGAACACCGAGGGTGCAACTTTTAAAAATTTATTATACGCGTTCACGTATGCAATTATTAAACGTCGTACATTCAATATCGCGTTAGACTGAAAGGGTTAAATGTTCTATAAGAACAGTAAGAAAAATTCAACTGACCTCCGCTGGGAACGCGTGTCCGTCCACCATGTGCTCGCTACCGATCCGATCGTCCAGTCCAAAGTGAAGATGAATCTCGTGGAACTGATACCGGTAGCTGAGGGGACCGCCGGATATGTTCACCGGGTGGCGCGTGTCGTTTTCGACGGCGAACACGACGCTGTGGCCGGTGTTGGCGAGCACGCCGCCCACCTTGTGCTTGTCCAAGTGCAAAGGCAGCAGGTTCGGGTCGAAGAGGAGCCTTCCGGGCTCGAGGTTCACCGGCGATTGTCGTCTGCCCTTGTTGCACAGCCACCATTCCGGATTTATGAGACCCCAGAAGCCGGGACCTTCGATTAAACCGCCGGTCGAGCATCGATTAACCTCTGGGACCGAATCACCCTCCCAACTTTCTACCGCGTTAAGCCAAGGGATCAACGGAGGGTGGTTCCGGGACGTGACGTTGTTCAAGGGGAGGATTCGAGTTGACTTTTTAAGGAAGAATCCTGTCCGCGTATAGACTCTTGGCGGTTTGAAAAGCTAATTGAATGCCGCGTTATTGGAGGATGTTAAACGATTGGAAAACAGCGAGGTGATCGATATCATGGGATTCCTTACCGGAAATACCGTCATAGGTCCACCATTCGTCCCAGCTGACGGGCCTAGATTCTGGAAATAGTTCATTATCAAGAATCCGCGGTATGTCGCTTACGCGAGAGCATCAGTCCTTAACCCAGAACCAGTTGTTGCGGCGAACAAAAGTGGCTAGGATATTCGGCTACACTTCAACGAATAACGAGCCACTCGTCTCAATTATACACTTTCTTGCCATAGTCCGCCCCGAGTCAATTGCCCGTCCAAGGTCGCTTCACCGACGACTCTACTCTTCTTCTTCTTCTTCTTCTTCTTCTTTTTCATTTTTTTCGACCCTTTACCGTCTCAGACATGTTTTTAAAAAACGCGTCTGCTTCCGTCTCTGACTCATGAATTAAGCCACGAAGCAATTTTTAAAACGACGAGAATAGGTCGCTTATCGTTTTCAATGCCAATCAGAGATTAAATATTGACCGCGACGGGCAACGAGGTTCAAAGGTTAAAAACTGCTGACAATGGGAATCTCGGTTTCGTACCTTGTATGAGAACGATCACGAACACTCCCCAGACGCCCAGGAAGACGGAACTGAATGGGGCCATTCCTAGCGCTGCGCGGTCTTCGTCAATTGGACATCATTCGGCTCGATTCTACGGGACAGAAAGGACGCGATACCAAATCGATCTATGTATAGAGTGCACGTGTACACACGCACGCAGATACCGTTCGCACCACGTGCTCCACGATTCTCATCACCCTTCGAGACGAGAGGTCGAAACCGCGGAGAAACTTGCGATAAGAATTGAAAACCGTGAACGACGTAGTCAGACTTTTAATCAGCTATCTCCGCTCGGATCCGACTCGGAGCTGAGCCCTTCGCGCGAAAAGGGGTAGAACCGACTCGTGTCGCTTGATAAGAGGCGGGAGACCTCTCCGACGAGAAAGAAAAGACAAATCTGCAGTCATCGTCGACGTCGACGTCGGGTAGGACGCTCGAAAGGGGGCGGGGTTCCCCTACTCGAACCTACCACCCCCGGTGGCCCATTCTGTGTGGAGTTCACTCCACCCCGTTCCACGGCCACTCCACACACTCGGGTCTGTGTTCTTAGGTCAGGAAAACTCGAGTAGAGGCTCTCTCCGTGGAAAGATGTCGATCGATCGATTCGATTTCTCTCTCTATGGATAGGCAGCCGCTACTATCCGAAGAGTGTCTCTAACCTACAACCGGAGCCAGCAGCCGGAGAGATAAGAGGCCACTCCGAGTGCGATGACTCGGCTCTCCAACAGAAAACCCCCTCGTTTTTCTTTGCCAGACCTAGCCACCGGCACGTTTCTCCGTCTATCCGGCAACCGACTAACAACCGAATTCCACTTGCGATACTACGCGAACTTCTACTCGCGAACTTCTCGTTCTGCCACCACCGATTATTCATGTTCGTGGTGCAGCATTTTAGCGAAGTTTACCTCTGATCTGAATACCTACGGAGAAACGAGTGCGGTATCGGGATTGAACGGAACTAGACGAGATTGATGGAAGCGTCCCGTTTATAATTAGACTCCCAACGGATCACGATTGATCCTCGTCGGACTTATTACCCGGTACTCGATCGAAAGCGATTGCGCCGCTTGAATGGAATTATCGAGTCGCAGGATTTCGGGGCTGTTTTTAGCCGCGCTTTTAGAATAGTTCCCGCTCGGAACGATTAATCGTTTGACCGGTGAGGGAGTGCAATGACTCACGGTTCTCGGTGATCCTGCGTCGACTCGGTCCACGGCTTCCTGATTATTCTGGTTTTCCCGTTGCTGGAAAATGGCCAACGTACCGATGAAACCCACATAAGAAGAATCGAGCAGCCACTATGCGATACACATACTCCGAGCACACACTCGCGGTGCACTGTTCCTCGGGTCCTGTCCGATCGATCCGAGCCGAGTTCGGCTGAACGATCCCCGCGAGGATCGCGTTCAGGACTCGAATCGGGATAAGATAGAAACTAGACTCGCGAAAGGCTCGGAGCCGAGAGCGTAGAGGGTCGGCCGCGAGCCGAGACTGGTGGGAGGACGAGCGTGCGAATCGATCGGCAAAACGCGCGATGCGATGGTGCGGCCAAAAATTTCGCGTGACGAACGAACCCTCGGTCGCTCCTCCTCGTGGGGATCAATAAGCGCCGATCGCGTACGCGTGATACTCTCGCCGATCGGCAAGTATCCGCCGATCCGGAAGATCGGAACCACACGGTTCGCGTTGGCTCCTGCGGCCGATACTGACCCGTGTGCACGACGACGAAGAGGACGAAGACGTCCCTACGATGCCTCCTTCTCTCTTCTTCCGCCTAGCAGACCACCGGCACACCACTCGCACCTACTTTCGGGTGCAGCGACACTGTGCTAAAATAAACGTTACGTGACACGAGTCGCGCGATGGCGAACCACCGAGACCTCGTCGGACAACGGATACCACCGGTTTTCGTTGCCCCGATCGCGAAACGATCCTGCGTAAAGCGATCTCTGCGCCTTTTCCGAAGGAACGACGAAGGAGGAACGACTACTACCCTACGAGACCAGTGTATACGTTCCTCCTTCTCCCCCTCTCGCTCTCACCCACGCGATTCGTACTCCATCTAGATCTCTGTCGGCCGGAGCGGAGAGCCATCGGCGTCGGGGCGCAAGCGCCGGCCGCGTTATCCTTTTCTCGCGCTCAAAACAGCCATCGGGGATCGTGCACGTACATGGGAACGGGCTAGTTTCCAGCTCGCTCCGTCCTCCTCCGTCGCCCTCCTCGCGCTCCTGGGCCACATCGATGCTTCCGGACACGGGTGAACGTGCGTTTCGCGCCTCCGCGCTCTCTTCCGCTCGGCCGTCCTCGTCCTCCGCCGAGGACGTCTGCGCACTCTTCGCCAGGACGAAACCCGAGGACGGAAACCTCCTTCGGGATCGCCAGCCACCGAATCTGCCCTTTGCTCGCGCTTTCTCATTTTTCACCCTTCCGTCGACCGGCCGAAGCAAATGGAACGACCCATTCCCGAGAAACGATCCAAAATTCATACGTTCGCGTCGTTTCCGATCCTATCGACGTCCTCGAAACGCGTCGGGAAATTTGATTATTTCTCCTCACGCGTCTTTAGTCTCTCGTGTATAATGAAACGGGTAGGCCGTCTAATGACGAGGCCAAAAATCTTTGAAGAACCATGATTTCCATCTCGGGTCACCTGAGAACGATCTACGATCTTCTGTTCGAGAGAATTTTCGATTTTGCCAACGTTTTCACGCGCGGGGAAGTTGTCCGAAGGATTGTTCGGGAAAATTGGTAAATAAACAGGGGGATTGATTGTTTGACACCGGTGACCTATTTTTCGCACACCCGTGGATAGTCGATAAATTTAGGATGGTCGGTAGCGGAGAGGCGGCAGCGGCGTCGAATTTAATCAGGCAAATAGTCGAACTGATTGCTTTCACTTTGAAGTTGAATAAGTTAAGCAGTGGATTTGGTTGTTTCGTTTTCGTATGCAATTTGGCCACGTTCCATTTATCCCGAACCCCTTTTTAACGACGGCGGACTCTCTCGAGTAGCCGGGACTGATTAATTCGATCAATCATCCCGCGTCATCTGTTCGATGAAATCTCTTACAACCCCTTTTAATCGACACCCGTCGCGACTCGCGACGATCGACGCCGATCCTTCTACTAATTAATGTAAAGCAAATTCCAATGATCCATGATATAAAAGCATTTTTCCACCTGGCTTCTGTCAATAGTCATTAATCAGTACTTCATCCGAAGGTTTTCACTCTTGTCACGAGTCTGTAGAAGCACCCTTTATAGGGTGTCACCAGTTTCTGCCTTGCTCGAGCTCAGGGTTCGTGTCCATCCTTAAATTATCTGACATTTTATGAGTAAATCGGATAGGTAAATAGCGTAGCGTGTGCGTAAGCAGCGGCACGTGACCAGCCAGGATCTCCGGCACGGATACACCGAAAAGCTCCTGACTGGTCGACTACGCGGAGCCGCTTATCGATTTTCAAAGCGGCATTGCCCGAAACACCGCTTTCCAGGCCTCGCCGTTTTCCTACGATTCCGCGTGCAACGCGTGTCGAACCGAGGCTCCTGCCCTTAGAACAGTTTCGCGCAATATTCGTTTGTCCCTCGTAATTAATGAAAAATAATGATCGAACCGCGAATAAGAGCAGATTGATTTTTTTTTATAATAGAATCTCTGTTGAACGATTGAACTTTGTCCGGTTAAGTGTCCCGCATCAGTATTCAGTTTATGTTGGCATACGAGAAAATCGATTGTTTGGAGATGGAGCGGAGCTTTACGAGCGGAGCCCCGTAATTCCAATTATTAATATCTGATCGTCGGGGCCGAGCGCCGGATCCCGCGGCCGTGTTTCTCTTGCCGGATTTTATCAGAAACCGATGTTTCGGCGAGTGAAATAAAATTAAATAGGATCTGCTTATCTAAACATCGTCTGAACGGTATTACTTGGAAGCGCGACGGGAAGAAAGAGCGGCCTTGTTTCGCGTCATAAAATCGTGGAAGTTCGCCGGGGTTGCATTTCTCCGGGCCGATGTATCCGAACGTGGATGCACGCGGATGCAACCGATTGCGCTCCGGTTCCATCGCGATTCCGGGACGCCGTCGGGCCATTGGATATTGAATTCGCCGCGAAACTTATGTTTGTTTTATTCATGCCGCGGCCGAAGCCGGCGGGACACGCCGATGATTATGGGTTATCGATGCTGTTCGACGCACACGCCCGCTCATGCGGATATGCAAAAACGGCCGCGATATTGGCCCAGAGAAATTCGGTGTTTGACGAGCCGTGGAGGGCAGACGAATTCGTTTTCGTGTCGCCCTTTTTCCGGCGACCCCACCCGAACGTGTTTAGTCGCCGGTCGAAACGAATCGAGTCATTTTTTGTCCACCGCCCTTCTCTTTTTGCTTCCTGCCTATTCTCTCTGTTTCAATTTTTTTTTCTGGCTGACCGTAACGCTGCGAGAGGAAACCGGTCGAATCAAGTTTCAGAGACAACCGGGTTTCGCCGTGGACGAGGAAATATTTAAACTGAAAGGGAATCGTACCGGTCGCGATGGAATTGGATGTATTTTGGAAAATTGATTGATAGCTATTGGAAACCTCCTCGATGGCTTTTAATACTGGCAATCTCTCTCTCTCTCTATCTCTATCTCTATCTCTATCTCTTATCATCTCGAGTATGATAAAAGGAGGTATTTCCTGTTTAAAAAAGAATTCGTTAATTTATCATCGGCGAACTAAAGTCTGTCCGGTACAGTGATAATAATAAAGCGGGGGACGGATAAAATGCTGAGGCAGCGCGCGAATTTGTCTTCACGGGTACGGATAAAAAATCGCGCGCTGGATAAAAAGAGGCCAGCTCGTAAAAATGTAAAAGCGTCGAGGGAATTCTTAGCCTCGGACGATATCCTCTGCCCGTAACGAAGTAACGACGATGGATTATTGGCCGTGAAGGCAATATCCTGTCATCTGTTTCTACAGCCGCCGAATGGAGCTCACCGTTTTCTTCCTAGGCCGTGTCTGACCCCCGATATATCACCAGATACCGAGGCGCCGTGATTAGAAAGTCTCTCTTGTGGCTGCCTTTTATCAATTGACGGGAACTGGGCAACGATATACGAAAGAGGGAAACAGCCGATTTTAAAGTCAAACAGTTTTTTGTAGGTCCGAACAATACTTCTTTTAGGATTCGAAAAACTATAGATTAAACTGTTGGAACGTATATTGTCCTTGGAACGAACTGAAAGCGGACTTTCAAATCCGTCGGAATTGATTTTCATGGGTTTTTCCGTTCGGATTGCAGAGGAGAGAAGACGGAACAAAGAGGCGGAAAAATGGGGAGAATTTGTTTCGACAACGGGGTAAACATTAGTGATGCAAATGGAGTTACGCCGTTGTCGGAATTTTTATGAGTTTTTCCACGCCGGCCAGAACAAATTTTGGCTCGCTTTCAAACCCGGCGCGCGCACCGGCTCTCTGTGTACTCTTTTTATTTCTCTTAACCGTGCCGCGTTCACGGCTATTGGAATAACGTAAATAAAAAATTAGAAAATGGCAGGAATTCGAGCTCGCAAATTTATTAAAGATTCTAACGCGATATTTTAAATACGCATCGCTGGGACAGTAATCGAATATCGCGCAATTTCTCGCCTCGTTAGATACACCGTTGCGCGTTATCTTTTTGAAACATTGGCACTGGGCGTCTGATAAATCAGAAATAAAATTCGCCGCGCGACTGTTTATTCGGAAAAAACATCGATGAACGGATGCTACGTTTCGATAAAAGTTATTAATCGACGATTCGTCGGACGAAACGAAATTTAAGTCCGCTTCGCCGCGAGCGTGTCCGATCAAAAGCTAATTCGCGTTAATCTAGACTTAACTCCGACCAAACGAAATCTAAATTAGGTCGGTATTAGTCAGACGCCGTTTGAGCCGAATCAATCCAATATTCGACCTAATTTAAGTCGACCCTGACTCGGGCGCCCATCGTCTAGAACCAGTTTAAACTTCGTCATTCCCAGTACTCCTGACCGGAGTCAAAGAAACAACTACGAATGAAAAGAACAAAACCCACTCTGTACAATTTTTTCTGTACGTAAAGAATCATCGACGTTTCAATTAGACGGTAGGCACTCGCAGCGGTGGTTACACAATATCGCTGTTCGCGGCGGCAGTGTCTAAGC